ACGGGGTTTCACCATGTTGACCAGGATGGTCTCGATCTCTTGACCTCGTGATCCACCCGCCTCGGCCTCCCAAAGTGCTGGGATTACAGGCTTGAGCCACTGCACGCCCGGCCTTTTGGTTTTTTTTTTAAGACCGAGTCTCACTCTGTCACCAGGCTGGAGTGCAGTGGCGCGATCTCTGCTTACTGCAACCTCCAACTTCCTGGTTCGAGCAATTCTCCTGCCTCGGCCTCCCAAGTAGCTGGGGTTACAGGCACATGCCACCATGTCCATCTTACTTTTGTATTTTTTGTGGAGACAAGGTTTCACCATGTTGGCCAGGATGGTCTCCATCTCCTGACCTTAGGTGATCCTCCCGCCTCGGCCTCCCAAAGTATTGGGATTATAGGCATGAGCCACTGCACCCTTCCCTGCTTTCTGTTCTAACTACTAAAAATAAAAATGGACTTGAGAAATGTTTGGGTTTGTTAGTAAAGGCCATGTTTTTCATTCAGAAGAGCCCCAGCACATGCTGACTGTGCTATGAATTAATAAGGGGGATCCTAAGGGCAAGAATTATAAGAGAAACTGCTGTTGTAAATGTGCTTCCCATCATTCTCCGAGCATCAGTAGTTCACTGGCGTAGGATAAGAAATGGAGTCAGGATGGGAGCAGCCTCCAGTTCCCCTTGCCAGCCGCTTTTTGTTTCAGGCATACATTTTCTATTAAGAGAGAGAAAGCAAATTTTGAGAATTCTTCAGCAGCTGGGAATACTGAAAACTATCTTTTCAACTGAGAAAAATCCCCATAATCATGCCCTTTACTTGCACGCATAAAGGAGTATAAAGGATAGATAAAGCATGGATTTTGCCATTCTCAGATGTTATCTCTTGGCTGAATAAAATTTCTGTGATTTTCTGCACCCTTAGGAGCCCTTGTCCCTCGCAAAACCTGAACGCAATGACCCAGAGGACAAGGAGCTGCCTGGGCATCAGCCTGTATCCTCCTCTGACACTGAGACATCCAGCAGTGACAACGAGGTGGGTGTGGAGGGGCCAGATTCCCGGCAGGGCTGAGCGTCCAAGAGTCTCTTGGATCCTCGCCCAGATGTTTACTGTTTCTTAAGCTGAGATACTTTCAGGGGGGGAAAATACAGCTGTTCACTGACTAAACAAAAGTGACTTGAGCAAATTTCCAACCAAGACAAAGTCAGCTTTTAAAAAACTTTGTATTTGAACTACTTACAGACATTACAAAAACAGGACAATGCGTGTCTATATGTGCCTTTCTGTCCTTCCCCAGTGCTCACGTTTTATATAATGATCCCTTGTCAGCTTTTGAGGTAAACACAAACCAAGTGAGAAAGTCTCCAATCAGTTTTGTCCAACCCTTTGTGTGCACCTGTTGAAGGAGGAGCATGTTCAACTGTCTTGACAGGTAAGCCACAGTCCGCCTTGAAGGGAATGAGACTTCGAATGACCTCATAAGGGTCAGAGCCCATGTGGCAGCCTTCCATCCCAGAACCAGGTGCCTGTGGGTGTGTGTCAGGTACACGCCAGTCTCTCCTGTGTGCTTCCACATTGGAAATACTAGCCTCGTCTAACATGACCATTTGTGAAAGTTGCCTGTTCTTTGAAATGCACCATGAAATCTTTGGCCCAGAGGCTGCTAGTTAGCACAGAATATCTTAAAGATAAAGCAAATATCTAACTGTTTTCGAGAGGTAAGAAAGCAACTCACAAGCTTTCATAGTCCTCCCTTCTACCAGAGATCTTAGTGGTACTGATGTGACTCAAATCTGAGACAGCCTTAGAGATTTTAGTGTGCACAGGAGACTTCTCCCTCCAAATAAATCTTCATACTTTTCTAAGGAGCCAGTGTCATTGCAGAGTGAGGTGACTACATATTTACCGTAGTTTCTGCCATCTCTTTCCTTTTCATTTTCTTCCATAATTTTTTAAAGTTTTGTTTGAGTTCATCGTAGATTCACCTGCAGGTACAAAAATTATTACAGAGAAATCCCATGTACCCTTTCCCAGTCTTCAGCAATGGTAACATCATCCAAAATTATAGTACATTACAACCAGAATAACGACATCGGCATAGTCACGATACTGAAAAATTCAGTCACCACCTGGATCGCTCCTGTTGCTCCTTCACAGACACAGCCACTTCCCTCCCATCTCCACCCCTTCTTCACCCCCGGAAACCATTAATCTGCTCTTCATTTCCGTAACTGTATCAGTCGAAGAAGACAAAGTGAAATCATACAACCATGTAACCTTTGGAATTAATTTTTTTCACTTGGCGTAATTCTCAGGAGCTTCGTCCAGGTTATGCGTGTCAGTCATCTGTTTTGTCCTTTTTTATTGCAGAGTAGTATTCCACGGTGTGAGGGTACCACAGTTTGCTTAACCCTCACCTATTCAAAGACCTCTGGATTATTTCCAGTCTTTGACTATTAGGAATAAAGCTACTATCAATCTTCATGTACAGGTTTTTGTGTGAACATAGTCTTCATTTCTTTGAAATAAATACCTAGGAGTTCAGTTGTTGGGTCCTATGGTAGTTGCATATTGAATTTATTAAGAAACCATTAAGCGTTTCTGGAGTGGCCACACAATCTTGCATTCCCACTAACAGTGTAGGAATGATTCATTTCTGCACATCTTTGTCGGCTTTTGGTGGTGACATGATTCATTTTAGTCCTTCTGATGGGTGTGTAGTGTATATCTCCTCGTGTATACTTCATTGAGGTTTTAATCTGCATTTTCCTAAGGCCGAATGTTGAACATCTTTTCATGCACTTCTTTGCTATCTATGTATTTTCTTCAGTGAATTATTTCTTCATGTTTTTACCCTATATTCTAACTGGATTGTTTGCTTTTTGACTCAAGTTTAAAGTGTTTTTTTATAAACTCTAGGTAGCAGTTCTTTGTTGGTCGTGTGGTTTTGTTTTTTTTTTTTTTT